GTGCGTGCGGCCCCACCCCAGAGGACGGCGGAGGGGAACGGGAGGCGGGGGGGGGGCAGGGGAGTGGATCGGGAGCGGCCAACAGGGGGGTGATGAGTGATGGGTGTGTGGACATCATGGCGGGGGCCATGAGATCTCCCCAGAGTTCATGGCCCCCTCATGTCGCTTCGCAGTGAATCCCCTGCGCCCCCCCCGGGCCGCGCACGTGCTTCGGGCCATGGGTTGTGTCCGTCTTGGACGCCCCCGAGGGGGAGAAATGGAGGGTGGAGGAGGGGCCTGGGAGGCCCGCCGGGCCACCAGGAGAGGCAGACTCCCTAGCGGCGTTGCTGGCCCGACGGGCATTCCGCTGGGGTGCGCGGTGGCGCCTCTTGTCGAGATCGCTGTGTGAGCGCCCCGCCACTCCGCACCCTCTGCAGCAGGCCGGCAGGCTCCTCTTCCCCCTACCGTGAGGGGGGGTAGGAGGAGGAGGAGGAGGAGGAGGAGGAGGCGGAGGAGTAGGCGGAGGAGGAGGAGGAGGCGGAGGAGGAGGCGGCGGAGGAGGAGGAGGAGGAGGAGGAGGGGGAGGCGGAGGAGGAGGAGGAAACAGAGGAGGAGGAGGAGGAGGAGGAGGAGCAGGAGGAGGAGGAGGAGGAGGAGGAGGAGGAGGAGGAGGAGGAGGAGGAGGAGGAGGAGGAGCGGTTTGCCCTCCAGGCGCGGTCGGTGTGCAGTGTGTGGTCCCAGGCGGACCATGCGTGCAGGCAGGCGGGGCCTTCCACATTCAGCGTTGTGGTCGAATCGGATGCTTTTTGGGTGGCCCGCCCTCCTTCTTTGCCTTCCACTCGGTGGCGAGCCCAGGGGGGGGAGGAGGAGAAGCAGGAGCAGGAGCAGGAGGAGGAGGCGGAGGAGGAGGAGGAGGAGGAGGAGGAGGAGGAGGAGGAGGAGCAGGAGGAGGAGCAGGAGGGCGGGCCTCCTCAGAGGGCTCGGAAGTGCCCTTGCCTTTGGGGAAGTTTTCTAAGCTTTCCCCAAGCACACCAACAAGTTCTCAGAAGGCCGGGGGGCGTCTGAGAAGCCCCGCCGCCTTTTTAGAAGGTCTTCTCCTTCTGATTTCCCCCCCTCGCTCGCCGCAGATCCAAGCATGTGGTGGCCTTCTGCGCAACCCGCCACCGTGTCTGGGTCGTGGACTAGAGGCCCTCTTGGGCGCCTCCTGAGGTCCTGGGGTCTTTTGGGTCTCTCTGGGGGTCTCTCGAAGGTCTCTCGGGAGCCTCTCGGGTGCATCCTGGTGCCTCTCTTGGGGCTTTCTTTGGGTTCTCTGCGGGCTTGGGCCCAGCGTCGAGTGGTGGCTTCCAGCGGTACGCCGGTTGCGCTCTTCTCTTGCCCATGCCGGGGCCGTCTTTAACACTCTGTAAGGCCGGGGACGAGCATGCGAAAATCATATAAAGTGAACTCGGAGGAACATCCTAAGGGAGATCATACAAAGTCATACGAAGCATGCTAAAAGCATACAGAGGGAACGATCTGGGCCTCCCATGCCCGCTCCCAGGGCCTCCACGGCAGCCTGTAAGAGGCAACCCAAGGAGAGCCCCAGGGCGGCCCCATGTGAGCGAGGAGGAGGAGGAGGAGGAGGAGGAGGAGGAGGAGGAGGGGGAGGAGGAGGAGGCCCCCCGAGTTCGATTGTGCGCTCAAGGTCCCGCATGAGCACCCTCGCTTCCAGCGCGGGGTGCCGCGCTGTCGGCCCGTAGGCCGCGGCGTGAGGTCGCCATGACACGTCGGGATCTGGGGGGCCTGTAGTCTTGGGTGCAGTCTCGGGGTCCTGCGAGGCGGGGGGGTCCTGTCGCTTTATATACCCTGCGTCCAGGGACCCAGAGATCCAACGTGCTGAACGAATCAAGACGGAGGTTTCTCGCTATTTTCGGCCTCTAGGGGCCCTCGCCGGGCCCCGGGACCGTCAAAAACCGAGTCAGAATGCGGCTTCTAGGGAATCGGTCGAGACTTCCGGGGGCCCCGCATTGAAAAAATCACGACATCGGATATTTGGAGAATAGTGTTTGTGGTCTGCGGGGAGGTCCCTGTAGCCCGCGGATGAGCCTGTGTAGTCACGGAGCCTAAAACTATTGAGGCATTGTCACTGCTCGCTTTGTTACTCTCCGCGGAACGTCCGCCGCAGCCATCTTGGCACAATTACATATCCGTTGCCCGCCGTGGTCTGCACTGTCTCGCCCGCGCCCTCCGTAGCGATGGCCCCCGTCCGCGCCCTCGCCCTGTGCGCCTTGGCCTCTGCCGGCGCTGCCCTGCAGGTCCAGGACTCACCGAGCGCGCCCCACTTCTCGCGGAGTGCCCTGCACGGTTTCCCCCAGGGCCGTAGGCGACCCGAGGAGGCAGAGGAGGAGGATGAGGAGGAGGAGGAGGAGGAGCAGGAGGAGGAGGAGGAGGGGGAGGAGGAGAAGGATGAGTATGATGATGATGATGATGATGATGATGATGATGATGATGATGATGATGATGATGATGATGATGATGATGATGATGATGATGATGATGCTGATGCTGATGTGATGATGATGATGATGATGATGCTGCTGATGATGATGATGATGATGATGATGATGATGATGATGATGATGATGATGATGATGATGATGATGATGATGATGATGATGATGATGATGATGATGATGATGATGATGATGATGATGATGATGATGATGGTGGTGGTGGTGGTGGTGGTGGTGGTGGTGGTGGTGGTCGTGGTGGTCGTCGTGGTGGTGGTGATGATGATGATGATGATGAGGAGGAGGAGGAGGAAGAAGAGGAGGACGGGTCGCCTAAGCCCTTCGGAGAAACCCTCCAGAGTGCCCATTCGCAAACGTCCTAAAATCACATGTCCGCCTCGACGTGTCCCCCACGGCGGGTCCAGGCCTCTTTGCGAGTAGCCATACTTTTTAAGTCGGGCGTGTCCCTCTACAGGAGGAACATTCAAAAGTACACATTGTCCCAGTGCGACCCTACCTAGAAGTTGGAGCCCCTAGGAAAGCAGCATTAGTTGCTATGCTCTGCTATGCTGCGCTGTGCTATGCTGTGCTGTGCTGTGCTGCGCTATGCTATGCTATGCTATGCTATGCTGCGCTAATGCTATGCTATGCTGGGCTATGATACGATATGCTGTGCTGCGCTATGCTATGCTACGCTATGATATGCTGTGCTCTGCTATGCTAAGGCTCAGCGAAGCTAAGATGAAGGTAAGCTAAGCTAAGATAGACCTGAGCTCAGGTGAAGCTAAGCTAAGCTAATATGAAATAAGCTAAGCTAAGATGAGATAAGCAACGCTAAGCTAAGGGGACGTAATGGGGGGAACCGCGGGGCGGATACTGGGGGAACCGCCCAGGGCGCTTTCCACCGCCCGGCCCCTTTTAAGCCCAGAGAGTAAGAACCCTTCTAGGCAGAGCCTAGGTAGGGGAAAAAATGGTCTGGGGACGATTGTTGGACTATTTGTTGCTATTTTTGAATGCTTGTTGACTATCTTTTATTCTTCCTTCCAAATCCCCCTGTAGGGGGACAGGCCCGACCTAACTATACTTTGCGAGTGGTGGATCGCGCTTGTCTAAGGACAGCATACAGCACAACCTGACCATCTGCAACGCCTACGCGGAGAGCAAGCCCCTCAGCGTCTACACCGTCAACAACAAGGCAAAGCTCACCGAGGAGCCCCTGAAGTACAAGGCGTGCAAGGAGATCGTCCTCGAGCTGGCGGACAGCGAGCGCATCGATTTGCTGTCTTGCGCCACACCGCCGACCCATTCGGATCCCTTCGGGCCCAGGGCTGCCGAGACCATACCTGATCATATGATGTCGATTAACGTCCTGCTACTATTCACCCCCCTCCTCCTCCTCCTCCTCCTGTCCCCTGCTCCTATCCCCTCCCTCCTTCCGCCCCCGCCCGTTCGATCGTCGACCTCCCTCCTCATCATCCCCCTCCTCGATCCAGGCCCCCATCGATCGTCAATCGTCGATCCTACGACAACGCCGCCTAGAAGAGAGGCATCCCAGGGCCACGAGAGCGTGAAGGGCTGCTCTTTTCAGAGAGACTTCCACAAAGACCACCGACCGGGCGCGACCCGGCGACCCGGCAACCCGGCCATCCTGGCGACCCGGCGACCAAGCAACCCGCTACCCTGCAAGACGTATCTAATTTCTTTAGATGCGTTTGGATGCGATTGCGCTCTGGCCTCAGCGGGAGTCGAGTCGTATCTATTTTGCCCAGAAGAACATGTTATAGATACAGATTTTAGATTCGCTGCTCCGGTCTGCACGGGGGTGCCCCCGTATCCAAGCAGATTTTTGTTCCAAGCATCTCTAACAAGAAGGGCCGTATCCAAAACAGGTAACGGAAGCATATCTAAACGTATCTAGTTTCCCAGAAGCCAACATCTTGATGCATGTCTAACCGTATCAAACTTCCCGCATACAGAGACGCTGACGCATCACCTCACCACCCCTGCTCTCCCACGCACCCACCGCCACAGCTGCTCGCACACAGCAGCAGCGATCCTGGCGACCTGGCGATCTACCAGGCGCGACCGGGTTCGCCCCGCGCGCCGACCCGACCACCCCCCCGGCGACCCCGCGATTCGCGACCCCCGCCCGTGTCCACACATCGCCCGTTCGTTGACGCCCGCCTGCGAGGAGCCTCTCGCCTCTCGTCCGGCCTCCTCCTCTTGGAGGCATCTGAAGCCGAGCGGCGGCCGCTCGGGTGCCTCCGCGGGGGGCATGAGGGGGCTCTTGTCGGCCTCTCAAGGGCCTTTCGGGACATTTTGGGCCGTCTTGGGCGCCTCTTGGGCCGTCTTGGGGCCGTCAATCTTGGGCCCCTCTTGGGTAGTCATGGGGCCACTTTGGGCTGTCATGGGGCCATCTTGGGATCCTCTTGGGCTGTCTTGGGCGCCTCTTATCGCCGAGCGCGTTCCACTACTCGCAAAGTGCCTACCGCAAACGTCCGAAAACACCTGTCTGCTTTGACGTAATTTCTCGTAGATCCCCCGCGGGGGATCCAGGCCATTTGCGAGTAGGTACTTTGCGAGTAGTGGAACGCGCTCGTCTGTCTTAGGCAGTCCAATCCCGGGGCCGCCTGGAGCCGTCTTGGAGCCCTCTTGGGTGCCTCTTAGCCCGTCTCGGATTGCTGGTCAGGGCCTCTGGAGCAGTTTGCCAAGAGTAGCAGTCTTCCCTAGAGAATGTGCAGACCTTTGCTTGTTGGGGCCCTCGCGGGGTGTCCTCTGGGAGCCATCTTGGGGCGTCCACAGGGTCTGCGGCGCGTCCTGGGCCAGCTGCGGCGCGCGGCGAGCCATCGAGGGACCACCTGTGCAGGGTGGGGCCCATATTGACCCGTCATGGGGCAACCTTGGGTGGTCCTTGGCCCCTCTCGAGGTTCTATTGGGCGTTTCTTGGGCAGTCCTGGGGCCGCCTGGAGCCGTTGTGGGGCCGCTTCGCCCATCTCGTGTCGCTGTTCCGGGCCTCTGAAGCAGTCTGCCAAAAGTAAAAGTCTTCCCGGAAGGATGTGTGATGCGTTGCTCGCCGGGGGCCTCGCGGGGGGGTCCTCGGTGAGCCACGTTGGAGCGTCTACGGGGGGCCTCCGGGGGTCATGTTGGGTCGTCTGCGGCGCCTTGCGGGCCGTGCTGGGGCCCGTGCTGACGCGTCGTGGGGCCATCGTGGGCGGTCCCGAGCCCGTCTCGGAGGCCTCTCTGGGGTCTCCTGGGGCGTCTCTTGTCCGCGTCGCCCCAGCAGACCACTGCCATGTGTGCGTGGCCCCCCCAAAGGGGCGACGCGCGCGCGCCGAGAAACCTTCCAGTATATGCGCCGTGTCGGGCGCCTTCTGGCCGCTCGGGAAACGATCTAATCTCTACAAGATCGTTATACTACATGTCATGTTCGGGTCGGACGCGCGCCTCCAAGGAGCATCTATATATATAAATATATATATATATAACTAAGATGTCTCTGTGCGTCCCATCTCGGGCCATCCCGCAGCCGCCTTGAGCATACAGTGGGCGCCCATGCCAAGAAACACCCTACTTGACTCCAGGGTGCCCTGGGTTTCTTGAGTTTCGATTGTTTTGCGGTAGAAATTGTGACGTTCCCACACAACAAATCCATGGACGTCCTGGGGTCTCAGATGTGGGTTTCTTGTGGAAGGTTTCCTGTGGTCGGGCCCCCACTGTATAGCACTAGTATGTCTCTGTGCGTCCCATCTTGGGCCATCCCGCAGCCGCCTTGCGCCGTCGTGGGGCCCCTCCTGGAGGCCGCGTGGCCCCACTTTGGGTCGCTGCCCAGGGCTCCTGGAGCAGCTCTGCCAAAAAAAAATGTCCGTTTCGTAATCGTTTTCTTATTCATTGCTTCGCCGATCGGCGCCTGGCGCAGGTTTCCAAAAGTGTCAGTTTTTGGTGATCGTTTGCTTGCCCGTCGTGTTGCCGATCGGCGCGGGCCCTCGCACCACCGAGCCCTCCCCCCCCCCCAAGAGAGCAGGTCTCGGCTGTCTTTGGCGCCTGCTTCGGGCGGGTGGAGTCTCTCTCCCCCCACCAGGGCGCTCTGGTGCAGACCGTCGCACTGAGCAGAGGTCAGAAGCCAGACCGCCCCCTCCCCCCCCCCTTTGTCCAATGTCGAAATCGGAGGTTGATAGACTTCCTACCCTGACAAGTCGATTAGCGAATTGGCCGTTTTCGGTTCGCGAGAGGGCGTCGCGGCCGTCACTTTTGCGGGTACAGGTCCGTCGGTTTCGGTCCTGGGCCCTTTTCATTTAAGGGTGGTTTATTACAGGGAGGTTTGTCCACCGCCGACGAAACGCCGAATCAGAAAATGGTAACTTTCCTATGGCATGGACAAATTTGGGCTTGTTGGGACCGCTGGGATCCCTCGGGTGGCGTCTCGGAGGAGCCGCGGGCTGCCTGGAAGCCATGTCCAGGCGACTGGGTGCCATCGGGGATTTTCCAGGAGCCCCTGAGATGGAGGCCGTCCAGGAGCATTTTTGGGGCCGTTGGGGCCGCCGGCCCTTTTCGCACAGGCCTCCCCCCCTCTCTCCAAACTGGCCAGACGGAGCCCCCCAGGGGGGGGGTAATTCTGGGGAGAAGCAACAGTTTCACACGCCGTAGACCCAAGGAGTCGGCGGGTTTCAAGCTTGGGGGCCTCAGCGTGGGCACGTTCCACGTCGGAAACCTGCCATTTGCCCCCACGAACTTGCTGCTGGTTCCGTACCGCAAGGGCAATGGCACCATGGCGGCGACTTTCTACTCCCACTCGTTCGCAGTGGTGCACGATCACTCGGAGATCGCGGTCGTCGACGCGTACGACGGCAGCGACCGGCACGCGCTCAGGATCGGGCAGGCCGGCAAGAGGCAGACGGAGGCGGCGGATCTGAAGGCCAACACGGTCGTGTCCCTCACCCCGGGGGCCTACAGGTCAGCATCGTCTAACCTGTCCCCGCTCACACTGGGCCATGGTAGAGGTGTCGGAAACAATTAAGCAACACTCCCGCGTAACATGTGTGGTTTGAACTCCCCCCCCTCCCCCCGAGTGCAATGTCGGTTTAGGATCTTCCGAGTTTGAGTGTCCGAGCGGTGATGCGTGACCGTGCCAACTGAATTGCGGGGGAGGGGGGGCGTGTTGCTTGTTTTTTCCCTCGACCTTATCTCAGCCCCGCCAGCCCAACGCCTTCAGCCTCGAAGGGAACAGGCACATATCCCCACCTAGGGGGCGGTGGGGCCCGGGCCACACCAGTGGAGGCAGGGATCGGTCCAACGATGCCCCACAGGGTCAGCATGGGCGACGGCAGCAAGAGTGCCCAGACCGTCGCGCTCGCAGCCGCCGAGGGCAGCAACCACGTCGTCATGCGCGTGGGCGGCGACGACGGCCTCCCCGCCGAGCTGGTGGCCTTCACGACCGGCCAGACCACGGAGCGCAGCGGGGCCCCCCGGGCCAGCGGGGCCCTCCTCGTGGCCGCTGCCGCGGCGTGCGCCGCCCTCTTCGCGTGAGGTGCCGGGGGCACGCCGACCGCACACCCAACCCGACCGTCAGTATCGTGAAGTCGGGCACGTCCTTCTGCAGGAGGAATGTTCAAGAGTAGTATAAAGAAGTCGGGGGACGATTGTTCGGGCCCTCTTGGACTATTTGTTTTAGCATTGCATGTTTTGGATCTGTTTTACGCATCTTCCAAAATCCGGCTGTAGGTCGGGCATGCCCGACCTAACAGTATCGTTTCTTTGAGCTACAGTCGGGGCGTTGAAGAAGGAACCCTTTTCGTTTGGGAGGGGCTCCGTGTTCCTTACTTGTTTCACCGTTTGCTGTAGGTTTACCTTCGGTTTTCGATCGGAAATCGAAGTTAAACTTAAGGGAAAAAGGGGCCTCGTTGCTTGTTTAGGGTTCCTTGGGTCAACGCCCCGACGGTATCCCCATCCCCACCAGGCCATGGCATCTCGGCTCCAGGTGTCTCGGCACCACCATCCCACAGCCCCACCTTGGGGGCGTCGGCCCCGGGAGCCCCGAATGGGAGCAGCCCATCTCCCGACCTGGAGGGGCCAGCTCGGCCAGTGAGGCCCAGACCACGCCAGTGGGGATGGAGATCGGTTAAACTATTCAGCGGAGACCCATGCAAAGGAACACCCTGCTTGCCTCCAGGGTGCCCTGGGTTTCTTGGGCTTCGGTGGCCTTGCTGGGGAACTCGTGACGTTCCCACACCAGAAGTCAATGGACGTCCTGGGGGCTCAGGGTTGGGTTTCTTGTGGAAGGTTTCTTGTGGTCGGGCCCCTACTGTACTCAGATGGCACGCCGACCGCATACCTCTTGGACCACGTGCGAATCCTGCCCCATGCGGACCCGATGGACGCTGAGATATCGGACACCCCCGCTGGAGTTCACTCGCTCGGTTGCAGTCATCCTTCGAATTCTGAACCCCAGCTGGTGGTTCAGAAGTCTGACTTGCGGCGGTAGGGCTCATGCGTGGGTGCCTAACACCGAGACCAGAGCAGGGCCCACTTCGGCCTTATCGATCCGCTTCGATGTCGATTGCAGCCGGCTCGGTCCTCAGAGGTGGAGTACCCGATGACGCATATTTTTTTTGTTGTTGGGTTTCGGCCTTCGTCGCCACGGCTGGACTAGCCTCGAAGTCCTGGTCAGAAAGCACCTCGGGAGAGGTCTGGGGAGTAGCAGTATCGATCTTTTTTACATCCTCGCAGAGTAGTGCCCATTTCGGCTTGGTCGGTCCGCTTCGATATCGATTCCAGCCGGCTAGGTCCTAAGAGGAGGAACAGATATTGACAACGCTACCTTACCCTCATCTTCGCATTTTGAGCCTCCTGGGAGGCCCTCGTCGCCACGGCTGGACTTGCCTCGAAATTCTGGTCAGAACGCACCCTTGGAGAGGTCCAGAGAGTGGCGGTATCGATATGTGTTTTGAATGCTTCCCCACAGAATATGGCCCACTTCGGTCCAATCGGCCTGATTCGACATCGATTCTGGCCGGTTTGGTCCGAGTCGATTCCGATGTTCAGGCGATCCGATGCGACCCGGTGTCGCATGGCTCATTGTTGCGTGCATCGCGGCGCATCCGATCCATTTCGATCTGTTGATGCAGTTCGATCCGACGCGCATTCCGATTCGACCCGATGTGCCGGTTGATTGATCGTGCCAGAGCTGGACAGGCCCTTCGTGGGCCCTGGATTGGTAGACAGGCCCTGCCAGCCACTGGCCGGGAGAGACTCCTGCGCACCACCTCTGGGGCGCAGGATGGTCTTGAGCGTTGCTGATTGGAGTGGCCCAACGGAGAGTCCGCCGAGCGCGGGAGAACATCATGGGGCAGCTGTGGACAAGAGTGAAGGGGGCCTCCTCTTCATCCAGGGACAGAGTAGTACTCAGTAGTAAGACCGGCCCTGCCCCAACCCACGATCGTCACCGAGAAGCGTGTGTCTGGGGACTGAAGAGGGAGCGAGAGGAGGCGAGTCTGGGGCGCAGGATAGTCCCCGTCACGTTTGGCGTCGGTGTGGGGGTTGTTGGCGGCCCTTGCCAGGCAGCGGGCCATGCTGCGCAGCGGTGGCGCCACGGCGCTGCGTGGCATGCGCGGAGCAGCGGAGATTTGTTTCGCTCGTGAGGGAGCTCCTGCGTGTCGGGGGCGGTCGAGAGGGTGGTCGGGAATGAGGGGAGGGTGGGTATCTCACATGGCCGGGGCCAGGAAATCTCCCAGACTCCATGGCGCCTTTTTCCTCTCTTTTTGCTTCGTCCTCTCATCATTCCTCTTCTTACTATTATGTATCTTCGCTGTTGTCCTTCTTATTTTTGTTATTAGTATTCGTATTCGCATGAGTTGCCTTCTTCTTCTTATGGCAGTTCTCACTATTCGTATTATTCGTATCATTACTAGATGTATTGCTGTGAGTGTTGTCCTTGCTAATATTTCCCCATAGTCTTCTTCTTATTATTAGTAGTAATAATGCTCGTATTCGTATTCTTGGGATTATTATTATTCTTATTGGTACGACTGGTGATGCTACGAATTACAGCTAGCATGTTTAGTGTAATTGTTATACTTACTTAATGTGTATAGTATAATTCGTGTTTACACTATTATGCCTACTTTCAGTATTATGATTCTTAGTTGAGTTATTAGTATTAGTAGTAGTTCTGGTGCTAATGTCATTCGTATTATTTGTGGGATTCGTATGTCTAGTGTTCTTGCTAAGAATTAACAGCTTTATTATTAGTATGATGGTTTTCTCGTTACCAGTATTCTTATGATGATTATTCGTATTTGAAATATTCTTCGTATTGCTATTTCCCTACCTAGGCTATGCCTAGAAGGGTTCTTACTGTGTGTGCTTGAAGGGGCCGGACAGTGGACCCCGCCCCGGGCGGTTCCCCCGACATCCGCCCCGCGGTTCCCCCAGTTGGTTGCGCCCCCTGGGTTCACCCAGCTTAGCTTAGCTATGATTAGCTTAACGTAGCTTAGCTTAGTTTTCGCTTAGTTTAGCTTAGCTTAGCGTATCTCATCTTAGCTTAGCTTAGCTTAGCTTTGCCTAGCCTAGCTTAGCTTAGCATAGCTTAGCTTACCTTAGCTTAGCTTAGCTTAGCGCAGCATGGCGCAGCGCAGCATTAGCACAGCATAGCATAGCATAGCATAGCCAAGCATAGCATAGCATAGCTCAGCATAGCATAGCATAGCATAGCATAGCGCAGCATAGCATAGCATTGCTTAGCAGAGCACAGCGCAGCATAGCATAACATACCACAGCACAGCATAGCATAGCATAGCATAACATAGCATAGCGCAGCATAACATAGCATAGCATAGCACATCATAGCGCAGCATATCATATCATTGCATATCATAGCATGGCATAGCATAGCATAGCATATCGCAGCATAGCATAGCATAGCATAGCATAGCATATCATAGTATAGCATATCATAGCATAACATAGTGTAGCATAGCATAGCATATGTTGCTTTCCTAGAGGCTCCAACTCCTAGGTAGGGTCGCACTGGGATAATATCGTCTTTCAGTGCGTTCCACGGCGCCCCCTCGTCCGCGTGCATATCCATTCGGGCCGTGGTGGTGATGATGCGCCAACCCACCCCCTCTTCCCCACCGCCCACCAGACCACCCCAACCCAGCCCAGAGGCCCCAATGTGCCCTCCGCTTCCAGTGGAGGGGGTCGTCGGGGAGCATGGACAAAAACACCTCGTCGGGGCACCCCCCTCCAGCCCGAAATTTGGGTCTTCAGGTTGGGTTGGGGTGGTCTGGTAGGGAGCCACTTCCTGGCCCCCCCGCTGCGGCGCGCCCGGCCGTGGCTGGTCCTCTCCTCGGTGTTAGTTGTGCCACCGGGAGCGGGCCTGCGGTACAGGTGCTTTTGGGCCGAGGTGCCCCCCCCCCAGTTGGGGAGGAGGAGGAGGAAGAGGAGGAGGAGGAGGAGGAGGAGGCGGATGGGGTGGGGGAGGGGGAGGGGGAGGGGGAGAGGGAGAGGAGGGAGGAGGAGGAGGAGGAGGAGGAGGAGGAGGAGGAGGAGGAGGAGGAGGAGGAGGACGACGAGGACGGAGACGACGGAGGACGAGGACGAGAGACGAGGACGAGGAGGACGACGACGACGGGGACGACGACGAGGACGACGACGAGGACGACGACGAGGACGAGGACGAGGACGACGACGAGGACGACGACGACGAGGACGACGACGAGGACGACGACGAGGATATCGACGAGGACGACGACCAGGACGACGACGAGGACGACGACGAGGACGACGACGAGGACGACGACGACGACGAGGACGACGACGACGAGGACAAGGAGGACAAGGAGGACAAGGAGGACAAGGAGGACAAGGAGGAGGAGGAGGAGGAGGAGGAGGAGGAGGAGGAGGAGGATGGGGGAGGAGGAGGGGGAGGAGGAGGGGGAGGAAGGAGGAGGGGGAAGGGGAGGAGGGGAGGAGAGAAGGAGTAGGAGGAGGAGGAGGAGAGAGAGGCAGGGGAGGAGGAGGAGGAGGAGGGGGACCAGGAGGAGGAGGAGGAGGAAGGAGGGGGAGGAGGAGGAGGAGGGAGGAAGGAGCGGAGGCG